GGACATATTTTTTTTTATCTTTTCGACCATGAAAATAAATCATTGTCATGTGATGTAACTATAGCACTCCATCCCTGGTGCCTTATCACCAAAACCCGTGACTGTGACATTGGTCTTTCTGGTACACGAGACGAAGCTTCTTAGTCATGTACCAATTATAGTCGATGTCAACCTTTCACATAAACCAACACTCAATGCTGACATTTGACCTAATCGCACTTAAAAGAAGGGGAAAATCGTGTCGCAGATCTACAGTACATATTTAAGTATCACCGCTATAAACTTATGAATTCTGTGATGTTTTCATCTTTGATCCCCATCGAATATATTAGCCAATGATTTATAATGAAGCGTTAACAGAAAGTCTGTCTAGAGGTTATGCATGCATTCAGAAGCTTTTTGAAGAAGATTCTTAAAATATATTTGCATATTTGGCCTTGTGACTTAAAATATAGGTCAAGGTAATTTATACAAGGATTATTTTAGAACTTAGAAGTATACGTATTTGTCGGCCAATTATGAAACATTTTTTTATGAATTTTTAGGAGACACTTGTTGACAAGTTTGACCTCTGTGACCTTATACATGTTCCGACTAAGAAAAGACTTAAGAAAAATAAGTACAAAATGATGCGATTGACCTTGATACATCAAAAGATTTTTTGGACGGGATGGATGCCTAGCCCCCCCCCTCCCCCCCGTATCGCCACCCCCCCCCCTACTCCCCCCTCACTTCCCCCTCCAGCAGCGTGGTGACCTTCACCTTGGTAATGGAAGCCTGAAACACCGGCAGTTGAACTTTGTGTAACTAATTAAGGCACACCAATAACTACAGTTGCGACAGTGGCGATTTTAAATCAGGACAGGACGCGGCACGGCGCGGCTTACTCTCTCAAAATAGCCAAAACCTTTACTTCACCACACCGTTACAAAGTGAATATGAAACATAAAGCTTGACGTACCAGGATTCGAATGGAGACCGTGTCTCCTGCGTAATGATGGAGCATAGATGTGCCATTCTGCTCGTTTAATATAACAAAATGTCCGTCATATCCCGTGAGAATACATGGTCTTTAATATAAACTGTATTTTGGCGAGGGTAAAGAAAGACAAAGGTGGACAAATCATGCATCACTGATTGGAAATCAAACTATCAAAACCTCAACAGTTTTGTTGTTTAACTTTTGCCTGACGACATACGACAAAAGAATTGTTCCACGCAAAAAATACAGTTCGAAACTTCAACGGATATGACAGCGATTTTGAAGATGAATTTTCGTAAATATCGTTGTCATTACAACAAGTTGAATCGCTCTTTAAGAAATATTTTAATTGTTAAATGTAATTTTAAAGTCATTTCATCGCAATTCTGTCGAATGAAGGCACGTGTTAAAATACAGCTTTTTTTCGTCACTGCCAAATACAGCAAAAACATATGTGGCAGGTTTATTCCCTCAGTGGTAGCGCCAGTGACAGGATGAAAAATCTATACTAATATGAAATTTCGGGGTAGGCGAGAATATCGACCCGGCCCATTTCCGCTCCATAATGACGTCAAGAGGTCATATATTATGACGTCATAATGTCTTGTTTCTATGTACACTTCATCCATTGAGCGAAAGCAGCTTTGTAAATTTCTCCGCAAATCATGGGATGCACATACACAAAAACAACTGAGTTTGAAAAGAAACCACAGAGAGGCCGACTGAGGGCGCTGTTTGGACGAGATCACAAACGTACCAAGGTAATGTAGAAACACTAGAACTGTCTTTTAACATCCCAAATTCTGTCAAACAAGAAGCTTCAGTAGAGCAAATATTGTGGAGACTCACTGCTAGGGTGTCAACTCAAATATATCAAACGTTTCGACAAAACAATGCATTTTTCCAGTCTATATTCGTAATCCCATGACCCAGACATCAGCATTTCTACAGTATTAAGTCAGTTGTCCGCAGTACAGGAATATCAATCACTCGTCAGACCGAATGCCTTGGTTTCACTGACTTTGACAGGTTTTCTTTCACGATAGCAATACGCGTATACATAATATTTAAATTACGTTTTCAATAAACAGAAAAATATCATTTGTTTTGCATTCATTGATTCGAACATTTTATTATCAATACAGGTTCAAATCATTCACATTGGAAATTCTGTAGGAGTGCCAGTCGGTGAGGGCACGCCAATGATCAATTTGACACGGAAGACCGAGCAGATCGTGCTTATGCAGCTGAGAGAAGAGGGGATAATACCAAACAAGGGATTAGGAGGCGTGGCTTTCACTGTGGATTTGAATGAAGAAAGGTCAGACCAAACAACTTCAAATGACGTCTATAATCAACTACCTGGAGTTCCACAATACACACAGAATACTATAAAGCCAGTCTCATTACGACCGCGAAAGTTACCTCCCCTTACCACCAGGAGTGTAAAGTTACCTCCCAAAAAACGAGAAGCAGATGCAGAAGTTTTTAGGAACGAAGCACTACGACGGAAAGGCA